CCTTCAGTTCATTTCTACTGATAAAGTGGGGCAATAGGGTGAAGCAGGTCTGTGGATTGTATTTTTGCTGAGCACTAATATAAAATAAACAGCCTATAGAGAAAACAAATTTACTTTGGTTCAGAAAGGCAGAGGTCTGTAGATTCTGGACAGACAGGAATGATGAATGTGAGCATGTATTATTGAAATAAGTCCAGAATGGCATGGCATAAGCTTCCCTGGATTTAGTTACAAAAGTTGCAACACAAATTGCTTTGGCTGGAAAATTTTAAGGTGGTGATTGATTTCTTTTTTTTTTTTTAATGTGGGTCATTTATCACTGTGTGCGTTACATGAGACATTTTCCTTTTTCAGTCACTGAGGAGTGTTTTAGAATGGTGTTAGGAGAGAGACCCCTTTAGCCCAGGCCTGTTTGGTGTCAGTCATCTGATCCAAATGTGTGTGTGCAGCCTGCCATGGCTCAGAGGAGGAGACAGGGCAAGCATGCTACAACTTTTAATCACTTCTAGTTGCAGTGTGTTCACAGAAAGCCAGAAGGCTGGGTTATATGTTCTTTTCTAGATGCCCAGCCTGCTTTCTGCATGAGCAAGGTGTGCAGGTGCCAAACTGGTGTAGTTTTGAGTGGTCCAGTTGGCTGTTTGAGTACAGACCCAGTGTGGAGGAGCAGGAACTGTGGAGTAACAGCCATGGGAAGCTGTGGTTTCAGTGCTGTTCCCATTGTCCTGGGTGCTGGCATGTGCCATGGATGGAGCACTGGCCCTGCCTCTGTCCTTGTGCCTGCCCTGGACCTGTCTGGTCCTGTGGGTGGTTTCACACCAGTGGCTCCTTGGGCTCAGACTGCATGATCTGCTCTATCTTGTCTGCATGAGTTTTGCTGGGTGCTGTCTTTGCTTCCTGGTAATGGTTTTGATCTTGGGTTAGAAGCTTTTTTTAGCTAAATACCCTCTTAGCCAATTCTTCCCATCCCTGACTAAACAGCTGTGCAAGTTGACAGGAGTCAGGAAGAAGCAGCCTCACAGCTGTGGGCTCCTGGTGTTTCCCTGCTGTGTTTTAGCAGGAGGTTGTCCATCTGAAGCTGTTGTGAGGCTGCACCATCCCATGGCCCACATCCCTGCTCTTAAACAGCATCCACGTGGGCTGTGCTCTGGAGTGATTGACCTGGCATCAGCACACAGGGACTTTTTATAATCCTCACAGCCTTTCCACATGACATCAGTATTTTACAGGGACCCGTGGTGTTTTTTACAACATTTTATGTAAGTCTGGTTAAAAAGAGTTAGTGTCTGGGAGTGGTGATGGCTGGTCTGCTGGGGAACAGGATTGTGAAAGGAAATATGGGCAATACAGTGTTTTTATCCCAGTTACCAGGGCACTGGAAACATCCCACATAGAAACGACAAGTTTAGTCAGGTTAAACCTTATATACAGAAAGTCCCATGAAAATGGAGCATGGAGGGTGGGGGAGACGATTTTAGCCATGGGCAGGGGTTTATTTTGCATAAATGCAGGTGACATCTGTGCTGTGCTATTGCTGATGTTGTAGTTGGTCTTTCTAAGGTCACAGAGAATGTCACAGTAAGAGTTTGGGCTGTGCTGTCCAGGCTGCAGCTACCCTGGATAAAATGCAGTTGGGTTCCTGTTGTTCTCTGGCTAAGAATCTGCGTGTCGACAGTTTATTTCCCAGCCCTATTTTTATTTGGGGATTTTTTTTTTTCCCTCACTGTGGCTGTCAGTTTTGGAGGCTACTCTGCTGGTGCTGGTCTCAGCATTTTGTACTTGGATGCTGTTTTCTTCTGGATGCTCAAGGCTGATGTGATGGATTTGTTCTTTCACCATATCCCCTGCTCCTCATAACCCACTTAGCAAAGGCAGAGCTGGTAGCACTGGGCAGCAGTGCTGCAGCCAGAAGGAGCAGACTGGGAAGTGCAGTGTGGTCTGGCCAGAGGAATAAGGAGAACTGCCAGATTTTATCAAGAGAGTTGGAATTTGCCCTGTATTGCTGTCCTCCTCCTGCTTTTGTTTCAGTCTTTTCACCAAAGTAAAGCAGGAAAGTATTAGGGGATGGTGAGATTCTTTTTCCCTACTGTGAGTGGGTTCGTGTTTGTGAAAAGGAAAATAATGAAGTCCCACAGAAATAAGAGTGGAATGAGAGCTGGGACTCCGGTTTTAGTTCTCTGGTTTGTCACCAATTTACTGTCTCTGTCACCAATTTACTGTCTCTGTCACTGTGAACTGCACCTGAAAATGGTGCCGTTTTCTGTATCTGAAATCCAGCTGTCCAAAATCTGACCCTTTGGAGATCTGGCACCCACATGTGTCTAAACACCTTCCTGTTTTCTAGCCACTTGTATATATGTATGGTAAAAGCCTAAAATGTGGCAGCCAGGTCAAAATGTGAGCGACTTCCAAAACTAGTTAATACCAGTTGGCCTTGGGAAATCACTTCTGTTGGCTTTCAATCTTCCAGCCTAAATTATTCCATCAGAAATTAATTTTGTTGACTGTACTTGTCTCATTAATAGTTGGCTCTCTACCTCAGTTTACACAGCTGTAATGACTAATCACGAGTTTTCCATCTAGGTACAGCTCAGAAATGAGCACCACAGACATAATTCTGCATGCTCAGAGCTATATATTGATCTTGGAGAGATTCCCCAGTCTGTCAGAATTGGTGCTCACAGGACCCCAGCGCCAGCCCTGTTAGACCACACCTTGCAATAAAACCATGGATGATAAATCCTTACCCATGGTGAAAGATTTGGAACTATAGATGGTCTTTAAGGTCCTTTGCAATCCAAACCATTCCATGGTTCTCTCTCCCACGGGTGCCTGGTGGATCTGCCTGTGGCTATGGGATGTGTGGATCCCCCTCCTTGGCATGCCTTGCTCTGGAAACACCAGCAGGATGTTTTGTAGCAGTGTCTGTGCTCACCTGCTCAGCTCCCACAGAGACAGGGCTGGGAGCAGCAGTGTCCCTCAGAATGTGAGCTCCAGCCCTGCTGGCCAAGGCCACTGGAGCAGGACAGGCTGTGCTGTGCCCTCTCACAGAGGACTCCCGGATCCCTCGTGAGTCACGGAGCTGTTTCATCCCAGCAGGGACCTGCACCTGGTGCTGCAGGCAGAGTGGTGATCTCCTCTCCCTCTGACACGCACACCTGGCTTAGGCATGGAAAGAATTGCTGCTCTTGCACTGCCTTTATTCATAGGATTTCATTTTTAGGTTTCTTTCTCCTTGCCTTCCTCTGCTCTTCAGTTGGGGAGGATTACACTGGTGGTAGTATAAAATGATGGCTGCCTGTATGAGAAGAGGGCTGGATTTTCAGAAAACATTAACACAGTCCAGTTTTGGACATCTGACTTGGACACTTATCACAGTCAGGTTTGGGAGCTTTTGCTTATGCAAAGCAGCAGAAGTGGGTTGTTTCCATTTTCCATTTTGTTGCCGACGGGGCTGTCTTTGTCCAACTGTGCCCTGGTGTACCCTGGCAGAGGCAATCTGCCCCCTGAGAAGAACTGCTGTCAGAATACTTTAAAGTCGGTCAGGCTGGCTCCTGCTTCGTGAGGTTTATCAGCAAAGATTTTCAGTGCCTCCAGTGGGAGGCTATTTTTATTCTATCCAGGGGCTACCTTCTGCTCTGAGGTCTTTATCACATTTTTTTTGGAATAGAGAAACCTGCATCTTTTAGAACAACCTTAAATACCTTCATCTTTTACAGTTTGAAAAACTAGATAGTTTTTTGTTCAAGGTAAAAGTTTTTGGCATTTCCGTGACACATTCAAGATTTCTTTTGTTGCTTTTTTACTGTAGAAGAGGGACGCTACCATAGACATGAGAATACTCTGTTTTCTCCATTGAGCAGACCTGACAGCAAGTGAGGTACTTAATGGTTCATCCTTCATGCTCTGATCAGTGCTTGACTGTTGCAGAAAATCCACTTGTGTTTCGCTGCAACATGTAATCAAGATTGGAAGAGTTCTCAAGAGATGATCTTGTTCATTTTCCTGCCCCATGGCAAGATCAGTCACACCTGTGTCTTACCTGACAGATGCTGATCTGTGCTCTAAGACCTCTGCAGCCTTTCTAGGCAACATATTTCGATGCCTCACAATCCCTACCAGTAAAATCTGGTTTCTCCCCTTTGTATCTAACTTGAATCATCTCTGCTGCAGTTTAAACTTGTCACTTCTTGTCCCATCCATTTTGAATTCAAAGAACAGGTCATTCCTTTTTGCAGCAATGTTAAATATTTGAAGACTATTCATGTGCTTCTCTCTTCCTAGTGTTAAATACCCACAATTTGTTAAATCATCCCTTCTTCATGGTGGATTTAAATCTTCTATATAAACCTTAATTGGCCTGTCTTCTCAAAAATACTCTGTGACGATCCCAGTCATTAACTAATCCACAAACAGTTTAAACCCTTTGATCAGCATTTTATTTATATACTTGAGTAAAAGCATTCAGTGCCAGCTAAACTGCCTGTTTGTACATCACTGTCTCTGAGTGGCTCGATATCCTTGTGCTGGTGTGCAGGCAAAGAATCTGCAGGCTTTTCTGCTGCATCCTAAGTGCAGTTCATTCCAAGGGAAAGGCTGGGTGCCTGGCAGGATGTGAAGCTCAGTGTGGTTTGTGCCTTGGTTCCGTGGGACAGTGAAGGTTGTGCCTTCAAATAGAAAGGGAGCCCAAAGACAGAATCATGGAATCGTGGGTGTCTGCAGGCATCCAAAATACACACTGATGGGCACAGGAATTCGGAAGTGACATGTGCTCAGACAGGTGGTAGGCTGTGAAATGTCACTTGGTATTAGGACCTTCTGGCATGGCTGTATTTGAACAGTCAGGTCATGCTTGGAGCTCAGCTACTGTACTGTGATTTGGATGTCCTTGATGGGTATGGTTTCAGCTCCAGGAAAAAGTCAAGGAGATTTGCATTTTAGCAGTAAATATGAGGAGAATGGTAGGCATGGAATGTAATTTTCTCTGGATTTCTCTGTTGTAGGTGAGTGTTTTAACCACCTTGGAGCGGCGATTCAACCTGCAGAGCGCTGACGTGGGCGTCATTGCCAGCAGCTTCGAGATTGGCAACCTGGCCCTCATCCTCTTTGTGAGCTACTTTGGAGCCCGAGGACACCGGCCACGCTTGATAGGATGTGGAGGGATAGTCATGGCCTTGGGTGCCCTCCTTTCTGCGTTGCCTGAATTTCTGACCCACCAGTACGAATACGAATCGGGAGAAATACGCTGGGGAGCTGAAGGGAGGGATGTGTGTGCTGTCAACGGGTCCACCAGTGATGAGGGACCAGACCCGGACCTTATCTGCAGGAATAGGACTGCTACCAACATGATGTACTTGCTGCTCATCGGGGCACAGGTCCTCCTGGGCATTGGTGCTACCCCTGTCCAGCCCCTGGGAGTTTCCTACATCGATGACCATGTGAGGCGGAAAGATTCCTCCCTGTACATAGGTAAGGCTCTCTGAACTTCTCCTGGAGGGCTTTCCTTGTGGGCTGGCATCTGGTTCTTGTTCCCTGTTTGATGCCAGTGGAAGGGATGCCTCAAGGCCTCTTCTCCATGTGCTGCTGTGCTTGTGAAAGTAACTTGGCATGGGTCTCTAAGTACTTGCTTATATCGTAGCAGTGGTAAAGGTGGACAGCTGTGATGATTGGGCAGATGCTCATTCCTTCTCTTGTGTTTGCCCAGATTGCTTTAAGTTCTTATATTGGTGGCTTATGGCTCAGTTTTTGCTGAAGAATTTTCAAGTGGTGTGTGTGACGATGATTGACTTTTTTCTTTTGTTTTTTTCCCCCCACATGACACCCTAGTTCTCTTCCTGTTCCAAAGCATGTGTCACTGCAGTCTGAGGAGACTGAGAGGACACACGTGTTGTCACTACCACTGTCACATTTTAGCAAGGAAGTGCCATTTACAGAGTAGGTGCTGTGACCCAGGATGCTGTGGCAGGACCCTTGATAATGTGATCCCTGTAACGGAATGGGACATGGAAGCTGGCGAGGTCTATTTAGAGATACAGTGAGCCCGAAGTAGAACTCATGGTTCTGGTGATCATGTTGCAAAATTCTTTCATATGGTTACGCTGTGAAATTTGCCTTTGATTCCCCAGTGAAACATCTCAGTTATTGGGGTAAAGTGCTTGTGGGTTTCAGCAGTAGTTCCCCCTCCCAGCAGGTTTAAAGAGGATGTTGTTGGCAAAGTTTTCTTTGAAAATATGTACCAGCTTGGCACATTCCTCTTTCTGCAGGATTTGTCCTAGGTGAGCTGCTCCAATGGCATAAATCAGTGGAGTGTCTGCTGCCATTGTTAGTATAATCCTGGTAACCAAAAGTGTGCACTTGTCCCGTCATCCCCACCTTGGTGTGACTTTCAGCTGAATGGCTGATCCTGTTCCCCTTTGGGTTTTTTTCCCAAAGACATTTTTATCAAGTTTCCAAGCTGAGTGTGGCCATTGACAGCAGAGCTGAGCAGTCCTGCTGACTTTCAGAGTGCTTTTTAATGTCTTGGGTAGTGCAGAAGCCTGGTGGAAGGTCACTGCATAGGCGTGGCATTCATGGATGTATTGCTGCTTCACTTAGAGCCTCGTCTGTGTATTCAAAACATGTCCCTGCTTTTCTGTAGCTAGCCATAAAATCATAGTATTTCAGCATTTAGCTTTGTCCTTGGGTCATTATTCATCTTCACTTGGTTCTGTAAGTGTTTGTGAGAGATCCACTGGACAAAGAAGGATGATGTATAAAATACAAGATAATGTACAACCCAAAGGTGAATAATGAGACTGAATTCACTGGAGCAACTGTGCCAACACCATAAGTGATGAGCTGGAATTAAGAGTGATTCTAAGATTATCTATTATAAATAACTATGTAGAGGGGCAGCAACTTCTTTCAGTCTGTTCCGTGGGCATTTCTTAAGCAATGCTTCATATCTTGGGAACAGGCTGGAGGAGGGTGCATGAGAGGAGGATTAGGAAGAGTGATTCTTCTTCTTCCTGAGCTACATTCATCTTGTATGCTAAAATAACGTGTTTAAAGTTGGCAGTTCAACTGTAGCTGGGAAAATGCTTCCAGAAAATTATTTCTGCTTACTATGTGCTGCTTTTTTATTTTTTCTGCAGAGATAAGGATGTTGTCTAACCGTATTTGTTACTACATGTGGAGTTTAAAAACAAACAAAGAAAAAAAGCCACACCAAAAAAAAACTCACCACAAAACCCCGAGCATTTTGGGGTTGTTTGCTTTCTGGCTTTAGCTATGGAAATCATAACCTGGATTTCTACATCTGAATTGTGGGTTACAGAGGAGTGCCTGTTTATGCACACTCAACCAGCAATGAAGTTTAATTTCTGCCCTGTCCTAGCCTATTCATCACAAGCAGGGTTTCAGATATTGGATGATTAATTCATCTATCAACTTGCAATCAATTTTGCTAGTGAAAATAAAAGCTACCAGGAAAAAAAATCTATTCCATGAATGAATATAAATGGAGAAGAAACAAGTGGAAGTGTCATCTTACATTGGTGGATACTTCAGAGGGGGTCGGATTGCTTGGCTTAAGTGTTGTTTGAGAATTCTTTGCTCAGATTTGTCTTTAACTGATTATTTTTGTTGATGTCATCAATGCAGTTTTCACTGGCCTTAGAAGAAAGCTGGCTGAGCAGCTTACCCACTTCATTCTGCTCTGTTTCGCAGAGGAAATAACTGCAGAGTGGATACTGTCACTGTGCTATATTTATATCCGTTTGCTTTCTCATAATAGCACACTCACTCAGTGGGGGCTGTGTGTGACCAGATGAAATGTTTTTGGGTAAGTTCCCTTAGTTGAAATTAGGGGCAAATCTGGCATAGATCGTTCTCTCAGGATATGAACTAATTAATAACAGTGATAATAGTCTGGCTGAACTTTGTAGAATGACTGGCTGCTGCTGAGAAATGATCAGATTGACCATTTTGTGCTGTTCTTAGTGTACTGCTTATGTTGAGTCTGTGTGTGCTGCATTGGGCTGGACTGTAGCTGAGGGTTAGAAGCAGTCTCTCAACCTGACAGCTAAGCACTTGTCATTGTTCACCTCTGCAATAAAAATCCTCATGTCCCAAGGCAGTGAATTAGATAGAAATAACTGTGTGCACTGAGAGGGTTTTTTTTCCCTCCTTCTGAGTTGTATGAAAGTTAAGTGGAGTAATAATATAATATCTAATACAGTCACTTAGCAGTGAAATAACAATACAGGACAACTTCTCTGGTTATTTTAAAAAAAAAAGTCCAAACCCTAAGAACCCCCCCAACCCTTCTTTTTTGTGTGTTAATACTCATGTGCATGCAGAAGAATGCAGATGTGATACCATATGGAGTTTAAAGTGATGCTTTGGCTTTAATCATTAGTGGAACTAATAGCATCTGTGGAGTGTAATATTCTTGTGGCTGTGAAGCCCATCAGATTTCTCCTGTGGTTTCTCTGCAGTGACAGGCACACAGGAGGTTGTGGGCAGTGCACCTCTGTTGTGCATCCTTTGAAGTCAGGGATTGCTCAGGCTTGTGCTCTGCCAGGGAGGTGGGGATTCTTAGAGTTCCTTAATTAGAGAGGCAGGGGTGAGCTACTACAGGAATATTCCTCTTCATGGGCTGCTGACTTGAATCTTCATGTTTCTTGCACTGATGGCAGATTTTTTTTTGCTGCCTGCAGTGTGTTGCTACCAAACTCAAAAAGATTCTGTTGCTGTAGTAACCAGGCCTAGGAAAAAGGGGCTGTTTTGGTAACCCAGGGCAAAGTCAACCAAAGAGATGAGTGCGTGAAAGTACACACCAAAGTATGTTCCAAAGGAAACATATTTGAGCTGTAGCAGGGTTAGAAAGATCATGGCACCATGCCTGCTCTGGTTAATCATAGAGTCATAGAACAGTTTGGGTTGGAAGGGATCTCAGAGATCATCCAGCTCCTACCCCCTGCCATAGGTAGGGATGCCTTTCACTGGAACAGGTTGCTGGTCAGGTGAAACCTAATGATGGGGAAAACTCTCTTCCCATTTTCAGCATCTGAGCACCTGCTTAACTCATAATGCTGGCAGTAGCAGCCAGAAGATGGAAAAAATAAAGGAATTTTCTTAGCAATTTAAAATTGGGGAAAATGTTCTGGTTTGGTGCTGGTTTGCTTCTCACTGAGTCTGATCTTGTATTTAGTATTGGAACTCCCATCTAGAGGTTTCCAAACAAGCAGATTAATTTTACCTGTGTGTTATTGGCATCTGGCATAACTAAGTGGAGGAATTCATCATTCGTACAGACTGTGCAGGGCTTGTTACTGCTCCATCTTCACTAGTGTCAAAGGATTCCTTCAATCTGTGGCACTGTTTATTTTAAAGGAGTAAAGACTACTTACTATACGGTTCTTTTCTCCACCCACTAATGACTCACTTGGCATTTCCTTTTTTAGTTCTTTTTCTGCTCAGTCTTGCTGAGTTCTCTTGAAATCAGTGAGGACTTTGTCATTAGGAAGGGGATCAGGGCTGATACAAAGAGGGGGAAAAAAGAGGGGATCTGACAGTGATTGTATAGATTTGCTGCCTCTCAGATAACCAGGAGCTTGCAAGTGTTTTCTGGTCACTGGAGTGCCCGTGCTGCTCCCAGCAGTGCTTTGTGAGTGCTTTGTCTTAGAGCCAGTGCAGTGATGTGGTTGGTTAATGTTTTTAGCAGCCTGAGACACACCTTCTGGCCTTCCTGCTGCATGTAACATTTGCTGATAAAAGTTCTTGCATCTTGTCTAGGGCACAGTTACCTACGGAGCAGAATGAATAGCCTCTGGGAGCCAGTATTTGATCTGGGACAATTAAGGGCTGTATTAAACAGAGGAAGTTGCTATTATTCTGTCTCCAGTTGATGGAGGAAATTGATATTGATGTTGGAAGGAGCCCTGCCAGATTTAAGACTCATTCAGAAGAATGCTGTGCTGATCTTTAATGCATTTCAGAGTTTCTCTTTGCATTTGTTGAAGCTGTCTGTGTTTGGCATCGTGGGCACACACCCCACATGTTCAGGACCCATGACTTGGGGCTACTTGCTGAATTGCAGTAATGTGAAGAATGGCTTAAAGGAGACCCCGGAAGGGACAAGTCTTGAGTCAAGAAGTTTGTGCTGTGGAGTGATGAGTGCTCCTGAGTTATTAGTGTGCGAGGGTGTATCTGAGCACAGCATCCTCTGGGGCACAGAACTGTCCTTGGCCTGTTTCATGACCGGGCAGAGAAATGCAAAAATGGATAAGGCAGCTCTGCTGGATGTGTCTGCTTAGCTGCTTTCTTCTGTCTTACCTATTTTGCCTTTTCTGTGTATATTTTGGTTTTATCGTCTGGTTGTTCCAGCTCTTACCCTTGGTGTGAGAGGAGAACTCAACAGAATGCTGTATTCTTGCCACATCTGCCCTAACTAACCCTGTAACAGGGATGGGACCCTGCATTGCAGC